GGGCAGGGTGCTGCTCACCTCCTCACCTGTAAACAACACTCAGGCACATCTGCGGGGCTATGGCTAAATTTTTAAGACCAGCAGTGGAGATCACATAAAAAAACTTCAAAGTAAATATTTTACCAGGTATATGTAAGTACTTATTAAGATTTATATCACATCTTCCCTGTCCCTGGCATTTACAACAGTGTTTATTTCCTTACTTGCTGCTTCACAGAACTGGATAATCTACAAGGAATTTACACATGAGAAATTAGAAAGATTCTCGGGCGTAACTTCATAAATAGGACATCAACACAACAACATTCTTGTATAAACATACACAATGCTAAGGAGGAATAAAGCACTTCCTAAGGGCAGAGGAGGTCCTGTATGCTACTGTTGAGTATGCTGACGGCAGAAGGACCCAGTTTGTCCTGTGAAGCAGTGCTCTGCGCTGCCTCTCCGGGCTGAACACGCAGAGGAAAGAGGTCAGTGAATCAGTGACCCTCCAGTTGTATCAGCCCAGTGCTCTGGTCAGGGGAGGGGTGATAAATCAGTTCCTAGCTCTACAAAGATACTGGGATCCAGTCTACAAATGTGGACTCCTTTTTTTCCAAAGAACAAAAACCCTATGAGTAGTTTAAGAATTAAATGAGGGCTTTAATAATTCCTCCATAATGCAAGGGAGTAGCTGCGAACAGTGTTGGAGAAGGCACGCACACTGTAACCAGATGCAGGCTTTTGTTATTCTGTTAAGGATGTCAGAGGCGCTTGCTTTTTTCCCTGACTCATCCTTTTCCCTAGGTGGATATTCTGACCCTTAGTCCTGGCAAATCCAGCATTACCAAAAAGCTCTCTCTGGTACCTCATTAATCACTCCCCTGCCATGTGCTATCTTACCTGCAGATGTAATTCTTCTTGCAGGATTCTTGTAAATTCAGGCAGTTTGGTTTCTCCCTGTCCTCATATGAACACACAGGAACAATAGTCTGCCGTCTCCTTTCTGTACAGGCTACGTCTCGACAGGAGCAGAAGAGCATCCCGTAGCTGTGCTTTGGGGGAACTTTGTCAAAAAATAGCCGGAGGGCTTTATGACACTTCCGCTTGTTACAGATTTCATTAGACGTGCTGCTGGTGCAGGGGGTTATGTAAGCAGATCTGAACCTCTTGCAGGTATCATTTAGGTTACAAGCTTTTGCTGCATCCAAGCAATTGTTCCCCTTTGAAAGTACTGGCTCCACTAGAAAAAACAACACAACAGCAGTAAGAAATGCGTCACATTTATATTATGTTTTGATGTTTGTGTTCATTTCACTGTTAATGAGACCCTGATTATATATTTGTTACATACAAAAACTTTCAGTGCCAGAAACTGCGACCAGTCCTTATGTTTCTTTGGGTAATGGTTTAACGAGTGAGCAAGTGCACAGGTACATGTTAAGGTCAGAATGCTGGCAAATACATGATGATTACATCAGGCAGGCTGTACTTTATCTTCTTTGTAGCCAACAAGCAGGATGAATATTTAGTAAGAATTGGACTCACTAAAAAGCTATTAAAACCGCTGGTAAATTGGAAGGGATACATTTGGCCCATCACACAGGACCACAGTGAGAACATGGGCTCCTAACTCTGGTTTTGTAAAGCTCTGGTATTTTTTATTTTTTCCTTGAACAGTACATATGACATTCAATGGCTACTCCAGGTAACAACATTTAAATGTAATTTGTGTACTCTGCAGACTGTAAAAGCCACATGCCTGTTACTACAATTTTTGAGGTATGAAACCAGCCCACCCATACAGAAAGGAAAGCAGGTGTGGCCCCGTGACTATGAGCTCTCTAAGGCCACCCAGAAGGCCTGTAAGCTCCATGCTTAAATACACTGTTATAAGAGCTATAGATGCCACTTGAACCTTGGAAGTTTTATGAACCTTACAAGCTTTGAAAAAGCTGACACAGAATTAACAAGTGGCTGTGAAAGAAACATTTTAAAACAAGGAGTATGTCCCTCACATACACACACACATGCTATCAGAAGTTATTGAAAAAATTAAAAGTTAGGACTATAATTACACATTTAATTTTGCAATACATTATCTAAGTATTAAACACAATACATGCTTTGCTTGAAAATGAAGGCAACTGGCATTAGAATGCAAAATTCAATTAAGAATAATCGTAATGCTGCTTTGGATATTAAGAATGCCAACAACATAGATCCAAGAAAATACATTAACTTCCCATTGCTACAGAATTTGCAAGCTGAACAAAACACTTTAGCAAATATCTAAAACTCTGCAGCAACCTTTTCCGGGGAATGGCCAAAGCTAAAATGTCTCAAATGCTCTAAAAAGGTCCAAGTTCCTCTTAAAAAAAAAGATTTTTTTCCTCGACCTTCCTCCTTTTCCCAAAAACTCAGACCATGGCCTTTCTACAACTCAGTGCTGCTCCTCTCTGTTCTCCTACTACTCTGCCTCTCGTTCCCAGATCAGGACATCAACCTTTTACCTTTTTTCTCATCAGGAAAAGATTATGTACGTTAGCTGACATGGTGCACCAAGGTACTGCATTTGCTTGACCTGACTGTGCCTGAGATGGTCCTTAGATGGTAGCACACACTCCACCTTACACAAATACATCACCTGCTACTATCCCATGTATCTTGCACACCCAGAAATAACCCAACGCACCAGTAGCACCAGCATGAGCAGCATTCTCACCCTAGCTACATTCAGTGGGTTTGTACATTTAACATTCATACTCCAAGTCCTTCCCAATCCCAGTTTCTTGCACAATAAACCGCAACTTTTTGTTTATCTTCACAATTACAAAACTATAAACATGCAACATTTGACTATAAATTAACAGAGCCAAGAGTTTCTTATAATAGCAGTCTACCACAGTTTAAGCAACAACAGATGGAAGAGGGATGAGATATCCAAAATACAACCCTCTCACGAAATTGTAACATTTTTATATAAAATATTGTATTACATTAGCATACAACTATAATCTTAACTATGAACTCTCAAAGTTGTTTTTTTATATACGGTATATAGAATTATATGTTTAGTACAAATATAATTACTATGTAATCTGCAGGGCATATAATTATGCAATATATGAATAGTACTTGCTAATTACTACACGATTGCAGAGTAATTACATGGTTATTTGTGCCTAGGAGTCAACTGCTGAATTCCACTCTTTAAAACAAGATTCTGTGGACGAGCTCTGAACGGGGCCTTTCAATATGAACAGACATCATCTTACTATATGATATATTATAAAGCATTCTTTAAAAGAAAACCCGAGATGTAATAAAGCATCTGTTTGCTGATAATCATATACATGTTTTCCATTAAGGGTCCAAAATGTAGCAAATGCTGATACAGAATTTAAAAACTCTGTGAATATGGACACCTCAAAAATCAAAAGGGACAGGTTAATCAATCTTTTTAAAAAACAGAGCACAATCCAATTCACTGACCACACAAACAGTACAGAAAGCTATTTTGGATTAAAGTTGAGTTAGGTGTAAATTGTTCATAAACAACAGTTATGCTCATATCTTTCATACAATTTATATCCACCAAAGACTCACATTCCTCTACAGGGCAACTCGGAATATGGACCAGGTCTTTTGGTGTTTGTTTTTTTGTGGTGTTTTTGGTTTGGTTTGGTTTTGTTTTTCTCTAGAACTACCTCTGGCTGTAACTTGCCACTTGCCTTTTCTATTTTAATATTTATGTCTCTAGCTATTGTTTCTGACATATTTATCATCACATTATAAAAATTATTTCTACCTTTTAAACACAAGACTAACATACAGCACATAAGAGATATGCATGAACTGCGTTTGAATTAAACAAGACTGTCTAAACCAACTCTTCTCATTAATGCCAGCTTCTCCCAAGCTTTTAAATCATGTTTTAATGCAAAATTTACAATCCAGAACACACTTTATGCTTTATTTTTATTGCAAAAGTACAACACAATTATTCCTAAGTCCTGTGGTAACTACAAACAGTTAACAAGACTGAGAGTGTTTCTGAGGATTACTTACACAGCAGTAATATATATAAGGTCAAAATTTCACCCAGCTTCTGTTCTGCAAAGCTTAAATTATTAAGACAGGCAGGAGTTTGGCTCTTACTAGGTACTGACTACATTAAGAGCAAATGGATCTAATCCAGAGCTACTTTTCCTGCCAGCATCCTTTGGGAAAGGTCTGTGTAAGGAGATCCTGTTTCAGTTCCCCCCTCTCTTGGAGCACATGGATACGGATTGAGGGCGGTCAGAGCAGCAGCCTGGGACAAGTAGCGATTCCTTCCCACCACCACTTCCCCACCCAGAGCTTCCTCTCTCCCAAGCCCACTTTGCCTTGGGCCCATTCTGGAAATCTCTGCCAAACCATGCAGCGCTCTGCTCCTGCCAAATCACTGCAGACTCCAAGGCAAGTGACCTCCAGGCAGGTGACAAGCGATGCCTCATGCCTGTGTGCGAGGCACGGGTTCCCACCCAGCGCAGAGGGCCCAGAAGAGCAGACCTGCAAACACCAGGATGCAGCCTCCCATCAGAAGGGAGCAGCAGCTCCCAACATCCATAGAGTTAGGATGCCTAAAAACATCCTCCGACCAGGCAGTTTGCTGTGCACTACGTGCAAAAACTCTGGGGCAGCAATAATTGGCTGACTGGCTAATTGACCTCTATACAGACCACCAGCTCCCAGCTCTCCCACCGCACATGTAACACACACATACAAGCTGAGATGTTTTTTCTGATAAAGTTTACTGATGAAAAAACAGGCCTCATACTATAGTTAAATGTGTTACCACTTTGTGATCTCCTGAATCCCCCCAGCCCTGGCCCAGCAGTGTTACAGCTGCAGCAGTTCTGGACTCAAGCTCCGATACGACAGCAGAAAGAAGCCAGCTGAATGCTCCAGTCTTTTATCCAGAGATGTTTCTAAAGTTTTAATAGGGTTTCTTCTGCCCTGAGTGATCTTCCTTATGCTTTACCCTCTTTCACAGTCTCTTCATCTAAATCTTTCATCTTCCTTGCATTTCCATTTCTATTTCATTTCTACACCTACTGAGCCTTTGGCTGTCTCCTCAGCTCCTGTTAACCCCATGGTGCACAGGAAGGGATTCTCCATGGATACTGGGAGAGTCTTATTTGTGCCCCCACTAGAGGGAAGGGGTGAAAGGACTATTACTTGTTCTATAAGATCCTTAGTAAACAGCAAAATGGACACTTAGTTTTCCATTTTCTTACAGTACATAAAAAGCCAATTACTGAGATTGCCATTAAAAATACAATTACTGTTTACAAATAATTTGAATTAGTAAGTTTTCTACAGTTTTTAGTGAAGGGAATGCTGTAAAGAGAGTAGTAAATGTTAATGTGATGGAAGGCAAAATTACAAAGTAATAGAGGTGACCACAGGGGTATGGGCCTACTGCAACTCAGGTGCAGAATATGGGGTATAGGAACCAAAAACTAACGAAAGGAAATAGGAGAATCATGATCCCACTTTAAAAAAAAGTGTTGCTATGGGGCTCACCAAAGTAATTCTGCTTTGTAAGAAGAGCAGATTAAAAAATAAGGAAAGCATGGGAAATATTGTCATCTGCATCTTAATGGATTCAGAAAAACTAACATCTTGAACAAATTATTTCTAATCCCAAATGGCAGAGAAAAAAAAGTCATCCCTGAGAAATCATGAGACTGAAACACATACATGTTATTCTGAGGTTCTGCTTGTTTTGTACTCAGCCTTTAGAGAACTGTCAGGCCTACATCAAACCTTTTCCATAATCATGATAAGCAGGTGCTTTACTTTTTAAAATCAAACCTAAAATATTATCAGCTATACCCAGGGCTTTCTGAATACTACCAAATACAAGATGCATTTTGAAATTACAATAGAGGGCAGCAGTAGGCATACCAGGTGACAAGAATGTTGAGACTTACTCCTGTGTGCAGAAGAACACACCCAGGGCTAGAGCAACAAAAGGACCTAAAGAAACAGAACTGCCTAAACTGAGACTTTGGGTTCCAGAGACCAAAGCTGGAATATTTTACATTCCTGGTCAGTCCTTCCCAATGCTAGGCATGCAACTCCTTGATAACACTAATTCTACAGGTCCCTGGAATTCTTTCCTGAATACACCCATAAATCCACCTGAGCAGGTAAAGACTATCTCCTGTCCAAGCCATGTAGAGATCAAAAACA